GTACATCATCCACAGCATCAGCCCCCCCCCCGAGTTTGAAGAGGACTAGAGGAAGATTATCAGGTCCCGCAGCTTTATTCAACTTCAGCAGTCCGATCTCACGTTCGACTTCTGAGCCAGAGGGTGGATCCAAAGGGACAACCCATAGAGCTTGGCGATCAGTGGTCGTCAAGAAATTCGACAATTCCGGCCGATTAAATTACTTTTCAAAATGCTTAGCCCAACTCTCCAAACGTGGTTGACAAGTTGTGAATTGACCGTCCTATCTCTTCACGTATGGTTTCACTAACACCCGATCTCCTGCTGCTCGTTTCCCGTATTCGACGGAATAGCTTTCGATGATTACTACGGGCAGCAGCCACTTCCATCTCTGTCGCACGATGAGACCACCAAGGTTCATGATCTCTCTTCAGGCTGACGCGGATTTTTTTCCCGGGATTTTTGTGAGTTTCATTGTGCTCGTTTCCAGCCGGAATATGCCGACGAGCATCGATAATTTCCAGAGACTGTGAAGAGACCCAATGTCCATCTTGGCTGTTAGAACCAACCCATGAGGATTTGTCTGCTGCTAGAACGGTCTGATAAACATGCGACCATTGATCTTCAAATGTGTTCGCTGATCACTTACTCAGTTCGCTAGTCAGCGTACTTCGTAACGCATTCAGAACGTCTGCCTTCGCCAGTTGACAGGTGTCAATGCGCTCACAGCGTCGTCTAGGACGTCCGCCAAAACACTTGCATGATCAGCGTCCACGCATGTGCTCCAACTTGAGCGACAGTTCCGGACGCAGCCTCTAGTGGAAACTGACCACAGTGTGATCGATTTGCGTCCAAGGCTGGTGGATCAATGTCACTTTCCGGCGGGGTGCTGTGTCGGAAGTTAGTGCTCGCAAGCAATTATGTTCATCTTCACGCGAGTAGAGTAACTGCTCACTGTTATCATTACGGGAGCCTACACGTTGATGGCCTCCCAGATGCAGTTCATCAGTGGACAATTTCCTTACTTGAGCGTTCAGACCCCTAGCCAACACTACAGTGTCCGTGCTTCTTCTGTGACAAAGGAGCTCGTCCAGTTGGCGATAGAAGTCCCCTTTCTTTGAGTCGTCACAACAGTTTGAGGGCCTGTAGGCAGCGATAACGAATAGACACCTATTAGTCCTGCGCGACTTCGAAGCTTTGAACCAGACAGCCAATCGGACCGCATACATCCGGCTACTCATTGGGGTCCAATCAACCAGAGCAGCTTCGGCCCCGGCAACTCAGGGCAATACCAATACCGGTTTGGCCGGTGCTCGAAGCTGCATCGTTTCCGGATAGGCACAACGAGAAAGCACTGCTTTTGTTAGTTGAAGGGGATCACAAAGCGAGTACAGAGCTGGAGTCTTGTAGGCGGGTTTCCGATTAGCAGCAGATGTAGATCGAGTATGTCTCTAATGTTCGGACAAGTTCTGCCTGTTGGTCGATCTGTAACAATTTACATACATTAAGGCATGCCAATTTGAGAGAGGATCGGGGGCTCCAAATGGAAGCCGATGAACGAGGCTTGACCGGTTGGTTGGACGTGGGCTTCTCGACTTGATGGGATCGACGCCGTGCGATTGCGTGTGCGTTGTAACTAGAAGCTAAACGCTTATCAAAGTAGAGTGAGGGTGGGCAAGGAAGTGACGGGTTTAAAACGGGGGTGGAGTTAAAAGTGAACTTGGAACGGGACTATAAGTGGGAATAAGAAGACGGGAGGGCTTGAACAGTAACATCCAATCCTCTATCTACCCTGCTCGATTCAGCAGATAGAGTGCCGTTGATTATCCTCTGCGACTGCGAGAGCATCAATTAATTGTTTTTTTGAAAGCCCCATAGTATTGCGTTTGCAGGATACTGTCGAATATCCTTGACAGGAGAACGATTAGGGTTCTCTACCCTTTGGCTCAAAAACCTAAACTCAAGAAAACAGGTTTAGTAGTGGGCTACAAGGAGTCCGTTTTAAGGAATAAGGCGCCACCCTCACTTCAACCCTCAACCTGGAGGACCAGGAGGCTGAATTTGTCTGGCCTCTAACAATTGACCAATCTGGTATGAGTGGCTCTGAAGCTGCAAAAGCACTACCCGACATAGCTAAATGGATCCCTAAGGCACACCTTATTGAGATGGTTAGGGATTTAACAACAATAAACATCGATCGATAGGAGCCAAATAAAGAGACACCGGAGAGCAGACTCAAACTCTGAGGTGCGCCTCTTCCTGATTTGCGAGTTAATGTGTCAAACTCAAAGTCGTCGCCCCGTGCCTGCCTTAACGACTCGAGGACGTTACTTGCACGAAATTTGCAGTTTAGAAAGACTCCGCAGCATTCGATGCTTCGTGCCAGCAACTTCTTAACAGCGCAGCGCAACGCGCTACTCTAAGCCTATTAGGACTCGCAAGATTTTTTTCTGGCTACACCTGCTTTCCTACCTCCAGCATACCAGCCTGTTTATTCATTTGTAGTCATCCACAACCTGAAACAAAGGGATGAAAATTAAAACAAACTTTAAAAATCTGCTAATATCACCTATCATATACCACAGCCACGCAACCTCTCGCAATTCACCGCTGTACTATCGACCTTTTTATCGGAAGCGTGATGGGTGGTTTCACATCAGTTTTACCACTGACACATCCAGTCAGTGGCAGTCACTCTTGTTTCACTCTTTCTGCAGTTAATCCAAACAAATCCCCACTTGTCTTCGGGGCTTCAGTTATTTCCGCTCGCATAGCACGAATAATGCCTTTACAACCGGGCATACCATCGATCAGCTTGTTTCTATCAACCCCTTTATCTAACTTCTATGCTTTTAATTTTTTGATCCCATTTCTCTGAGGTGCTTACAGAAAAGGTTTATATACACACCACATTTGACTTATCCTAATCAATGCAAGATCCATAAACAACAAGTTGCATTTTAAGGACATTCTTACTTACTTAAGAGCACCACATCTAATCTTCGTCCTCGAAACATTGTACTCCTTTGTTGTGTTGTTTTCTATTTTATCTAGTCCCATCTACCACCTTTTTCGAGAAGATCGAAGCACAAAGATGAGTGAGGGATGTACTCTAAATCTCAATCAAAATTTTGCAGCAGAGCTTCTTGACGACCCACAATTAAATCAAGTTTATGAATATCTTTGGCTATTAGTCGTCGCAGCCTCTTCTAGGACACTTCTCGTTTGCATCTACGATTCCTCGAAAGTGGCATCCAGAGATACCACTATTATCTCATCGGTGGTTAATTTCGCAACCGTGTTACCACGCAGGCTAAAATTAACCATGCGTGGGTTCCACTTACCAAAAATCACTTGGTCACCACAACCATCCTCATCGTTGCATAGTGATTTCTTGTCGACTATCAGACCTGGCGATTGGACTCAGGGTGTCAGCAGGCCATCTAGGTTGGCCAACTTACTGGGCTTAATATGCACGCTGGGGATCCCCGACGCACAAATTGGCATTTTAGACTACCTTCCTAGTACTGACCACAATGTGTACGGCGTACTCCTTACACCGAAGTGAATACCAAACTCGACTTAGCTATCCAACAAAATATCCAAAGGATTGATTGGGAGACTTTCCAAAAACGAATCCTTTACTACAACATGGATGCTTTTTTCTCTACCAGCTTCTGCGGCTCTGTGAATCAGTTCTACTACCGAATCCGTCGTATCATGGCACTGCATGTCCCGCAAGATAAACGCGCCGTACCTGGTTCTAAGGATTCATTGGAGGCCTCGACTAGCCTGAAATTGAGTCACCTAATTACAAAATTCAAAATGTTACAATTGCACGTCTCCATAACCTACATAAAGCTGCATAAAGTGAGGCGATTAGACAGAATAAGTAGGACACCTTACGGATGGTATACGAGGAAAAAATCTAGCCCGTCGTTAAAGGAACGTTACGCCTTCATCGATCACGGGTCTGAACAATGAGGGTCGTCGTCATCTTAAGTACTTACCGCCATCTATGAAGCGTTTAGTTTTTTCGCTGTCTCCATGAATCTAGAAATTGATCCATAGTTTCCTGCTCGGAACTTACAAGAAGCGTGATATGCAATGCCGAGATTTCTCTCTCGACCAGTCGCAGACCATGGAGCCTATCATTTTGAACACGTTGACAGTTTCGTATACATGGGCAGCTGCGTCTCTGTTGGTGGCACTATCAACAAGGAAATTTCTCTCCCCATCGCTAAAGCACTGTCCTCGTTTGTCAACCTGCAACTCTTGTGGCGTCGTCGGGATGTACTCCTCTTGGTATAGGGTCGGGCGGTGTGACTGTATGGCAGTGAGTCTTGGTCAGTTCGCCTAGCTAGGCGTTCGATAATGGGGGCCTAAGAATGATTGTTCATTTGTGATGTCAACAACTTATCTGCAACGGTGGAGTCAGGGGATGCGAGTATTCCCTTCAACAAGCACGTTTTCCTGTGCTACTTAAGATGTCTCGGTCACGTCCTGCGTATGTCACTGGGCGTTGGCCCTATTGCGCCCTTTTCATTCTTGTTGAACTTGACTGGAAGAGACTACGCAGTGGTCAACCATGCGCCTGGCGACAGCATATCAAGTCATTGACTTCACGCTTTGCTGCCCTTGAATCCACACGTCTGACTGGTTAGGGACCTAAGGACCAAGAGTGCCGATGACTGGATAGTCACCAAATAAGTTCTTCCCAGATGGACCAGCATATGTATAGCCAGTGGAAAAGGCTTACACAATGCGCAGCATGAACAAAAACCAAGTATTCCACTATACCTTAACAACACAGACGCTGCTGAATAGATACCTCAATCGTTTATGAGCATGGTCATCACTATACTAATAATATGTCATTGTTACACGGACAGCATCTGGTGCATTCGGGAAATATACGCACTATTATTATTCTTTTAAGTTAATATTTTTGCAAAACCTGGACACTGGGAAGTTACTCATCCACTACTACTAGCTTACCTTATTCTTTTTCTCTAATACAGATTTGAACAGGCAACGGAAAACGCGCTCTTCCGATCTAGAATCTACGTCGAATTCCATCTTCCGCTCCATCCTGTGCCCTTTAGATACCAACTTATATCTTCCGAGTCCAAATCTAGAACCTCGCAAGAAACCGGTGAGCCTGTCTCCCACAGCCCCGCGGTTGATTTATCAACTTCCTGAAGAAGACATACGTGCTGACGTCGAAGCTATTATGGCTGCTGTGAAAGTAAGTTTACCATCTAATACACTAATCCATATAACAGATAAGTTAGGTTTAACCACTTTCCCAATTAATATCACATTCTATCAAATTCTCCGGTTTTAGCTTGCTTCAGTCAAGACAATTTCCAAAATCTTAAACCTTGATCCCTAAACAAACATTCAGGGTTAAGGCGTCTACATGTTGTTCCAACAACATACTATTCTAAACAGCTGGATTTCGTGTAAAGATAAGGCGGCATCAGCGAGACAGCTTCCTTGCGGCTTTTACTGCCCCACATCATAATCGGCCATTGCTCCGCAGATAACTCAGAATCACATACACGCTAGACAGGCAGTCCGACTAGGAGACGAGAGCAGACACACCACTGGTTTCGACTGCAAGTCATGTCATGTAACATCTCTAGCCAAGCACAAGGCGGGACACGTGGATTCCAGCTGGGAAGCTAAGGCTGACCGACAGCACCGAATTTCCTTCTCATTGACTTCATTTTCCGTTGCCAAGTTAATTTTTACCCGTCTTGGGCCTTGCGCCACCTTACATCTGGCAAGCAAAACAAGGCCCTCCTCCGTAAGCGGTGACCGGACGTAAGCATTACGTGCCCAAGACAACGCAGTTTATTCAGTGATATCTCTTGTTCTAAGAAAGTAACATTGATCAGACCACATAGTTGGACTGCACCTCGAATCACCGAGGAATAAACCCTTTATTTATTTATTTATTTATTCATTATCACTGCCTAACATTCGCCTACGCACATCATCCTTGCGGACACACTAGTGGCATCCGACGCCAGTAATGCTTCGCAAACAACAAGGATCCAAGACTTGGAGCCCTCACAGGTCCTCAAGGGGAAGGGACCAAACTTCGCTTTCATAGAGTAGGACGGCTCTTACTGTGGCCTTTCAAATGGAGGAAATCTGACGCCGCAGATATTACAGACTCAAGATGACAGTTCTACCTTTTGAAATATGTGAACTGACTTCAGTGGTTATGTGCCCCTTGTTGCTGATGCATTTGCCAAGGTTGCTGAATTGGTCAACTACCTCAACTTCTTCTCTATCTAGTGTCAAGGGATCACCAAATGGCTGCTGGTCTTGTAACAACACTGTATTTTCAAAATGCGAAGCACATATCAAATAATGGGACCACTCTAGAGTAATTATTCAGGGTTGATTGGGCTGCCACGACATCGTTAAGAGGCAGAACGATCTCGTCCGCACAATCAAGATCCATTGGCTTTTCACCATCCAATACCTTTAGGAGTACATTGTGAGGCTCCACAAGGAAACACTCCATGATGGTGTCCACGTCGAAGTGATACAAAAGTGCTGAAATTGGGCAATCCTGACAAACGCCACTCGTTATCATGAAGATATACGTTGAGTCACGATATCCCCTGTGGGGGCTCGTAGCATTTGGGTGTATCGCACTAAAATGTTCACATATTTCATGAAGACGCCTATCCGCGCATTTCAAACAGAATAGATCGATTGACTTCATGGAACGCACCATCAAAGTCGAGTTACGCAGCCTTCATCGGTCTGCGGTACGTATGACGTTGCCCTAGTACTTGCCGCAGAGTGAATATACGGTCTGTACAGCCCCGTTCTAGTCGAATACCCGCTTTCTGTTTCCCAATCCGGGATTCCCGTTCCGTAGTGACACGACGAAGAAGAATTGAGGTTAGTAATTTTGTCACCACTGGCGTTGGGCTAATACCCATGTGGTTAGCACAGTCTGTGCAACTGCCCTTCTTGTGGAATAGATTCACTCCAGTTAGCTGGGATGGTCTTCGTTTCAGATCTGCACGAACATGGAACTCATGGCTTTTCGGAGGAACTCACCGCCATCCTCAAGTAGTGCGGGTGCTAGGGAATCCGGATTGACAGCACGAACACGATTAAGGGCTGCGACAGCGTTTCTTAGCTCAGCCTCCAATGGAGCCTCTACTCTAACTGCCCTAACTCAGCATTTACCACCTGATTGGGTAGTGGTCCAGAAGCGGGAGCCAACTGAACTGATCTCGAAGTTGCTCCTCCCAGCAAGTCATACGACACTGCTTATTGTAAATAATGGCAGCTGCGCTTTCTCTACTTATTTCACTGGTGCCTGGTCTTCTGGGCCAATGGTGCAAATCATTTGGAAGAGTTTACGATGATTGTCCACCGCTCTTGCTACCTCCATTTCCTAACCCCTACTGGTCCACCAGGTTTCGTTGTCAGCACGAAGGCTCCGCTTCAGTTCGCGCGTAATATTCCGTCTGGTTACATTGTGCTCAGAGCCAACAGGCAGTATTCTTCTGGATTCCAACAGCTTCACCAGCCTCTCGGATATCCAGTGACTGGTGCGGTGACGATTGATAGTGCCGCAAGCAGATGCTCCTGCCTCGTGTTAAGCGGCCGAGATCTTCAAAGTTGGACTTAGTGAACCCACCGTGTGGTTGGGTTGCGACACGATCGTACGTATCGTATCTGAAATGGAAATATTTCTGTGTTGCTCCTCCTAACACTGGCACACCACTACCGCGATTTCCTCCTGTTTTGGACTCATCAAGGGGAGAGATCCTGAGCTGGGGTGGAACTCAGAGCCTAGCGGTTCACGGCTGAGGCCATAAACACTGTGTCACTGAGACCCCCAACACAGTGGGTTCTCCAAGTCCAACTTTGATTTCTTTTCCGCTGTACCAAGTGTTGCTCGCTGATCTCAGTCGCATAGTGTTTATGGCCTCAGCCCTGAACCACTTGGCTCTGAGTTCCATCGCAGCTCATGCTATCTCCATCTGTTGAGTCCACACCAGAATGAAACCGCGGTTGTGTTGTGCCAGTGTTGGGCGGAGCAACACCGAAATATTTCTATGTCAGATACGGCCGAGATCTCGTTCCACTTAAGATCTTTTAATAGGCATGCACTTTATATTGCAATCGTACGCTTATTCTACATGATTTATTTTAACAATTTCATAACTCCCGAGACTTGATTGCATTGTGTACTTTGCAAGGTTGCCGTTTGTATGTCGTCTTACCATACAGTACCTGGATACCCAGTGACCAGAACAGCTCCCAGGCTAACGATTCCGCAATACTTGTCACGGCCGCTGCTTTGTAATTGTCTGGGTAGCAAGGTGCGTGCTTTTATGCACTCCATTTTTGGCTTATTTTCCTCGAATTTTACTTTGCACGCCGCGAGCGTTTACAGAGGGCTTGGTCGCCTGACTCCATCCTCGTTACCTGATGCAGCAGACTGTAGCTGGTTTTTGCGAGAATAGAGTGCGCAATCTTCGTGACAATGTTAGATGTGAGACCTGTGGCCCCACCATATAGAGTACCGCCACCCAGTCATGCCTCTGCATTCTTTTGGCATTTTTGCTTCTTCTCTCTGTGGTTGGCAGCATTCGGTTTTGAATTTGCCTGTCACTGCGACCTGCATAGTACAGCCACAGGACCCGAAGGAATAAGACCGGGAGGCATGTGTTTAGGAGCCACGTGTCATCAACGGAGCCGGCCCACACTCCGTCAACAAGCAGGCAGAATCGTAGATGCCAAATTGGGGGATTATGCGTACCAGACGTATACAAGGTGGTGGCTAGGTCATAGTCTGCTCCACACCTAATGGAGCCGCTCTTTGAGCCTAGCACGGCCAAGAGGACAGTGAGCCCCTTCCTCTCCAGCAACAACGAACTGTCTCCTTGTGCCACTGTAGAGTTGTTGGGTAATACTCACGTAGGCACCTTGTCAACATTCACATCCAGCGCAGCCACGTCGGGGATATCAATTAACAACCAACTCCATGAAATGCACGAAACTCAACACGCAGTCACACGTACAGACCAACCTCAACTACCTTTAGGCACACGTACCACATCAAACACCTTATTGGTGTGAGTTAGTAAATCGCATGGAAGCGGACGTAGCGCACCTACCAATCGATGTGCTGATTGTTTTGGGTCAACGTGGCAACCCTGGTATCTTACCAAATCCGCTTGGTTCAGGCATTCGCGACCGCATTTGCTACACCACCATGCGTTCGACGTCGATGGGGTAGACTCCATTGGCGCCTCTCGCTTCTGTACACGTCGCTTCTCCGCATGTAGCAGTGTTTTCTACTGCACTTGGTCAACCACGTTCCTGATCAGCTCACGCCATTCGCGACGAATAGTTTCCTTTGACACCCAACCCCTGAAATCAACTTTAGTTCGTAATAAACTCACTTTGATCATGTCCTGGTAACGTAACCGGTTTGCCCGCGTGCTTTTTCCCTGAACTAAGTTAATCGTACAAACTTGTTTGGGTATCCTCGTCGAATTCATTCGGCTGATTGCCGCAGCGGACCGATGCAGCCCACTGCATACATGCCACTGTTGCGCAGGACTTCTTTGTCTGCACCACTGTCGCACCAAACAATTCGCCGAGTCCGTCGCAGACACCATTGATGTAATCGCTCCAAACGTCTGGCGTCCTTCCGGTACATCCCTCTCGTTTCGCTGCCGTATAGAAGATCGGACAGCACCGACAGAACGGACAGTACCGTCAGTTTCCCTCCAACAGCAAGCTGGTGTTTGTTCCACACATGTTCCTCCAGATTGCTAAACGCAGCAGCTGTCTTCCATATGCGCATGCGCATCTCGCTCATCAACTGGAGGTCGGTAGACAGTACGCTCCCAAGGTAACAAAATTTCAGTGCTGTCTTTAACACGTCATCGGGAACCTTGATTTAGAGAAGGCCCACGGATTCCATACTTGAGGAAGGCTGGAAATGACAAACAGTCTTCCTTGTATTGATGGTGAACCCGAATTTTGCCGCTGTCGAAGCGAGAGCCGAACTCATGTGCTGCAACTCATCCGCGCTGTGTGCAGAAAACGCACAGTCGTCAGCAACCAGCGATCTACGGCTACTTGTCTCACACGATAAAGTTCTCACCCCGAAACGACGGATGTTCAGCAACCCACCATCAATGCGGTGCTCCACACGGACACCGTAATCACAGCCATGTTGTACTGCTGCGC